GCGGGAGAGGCCCTTCTCCGGGAGCCCCCCGCGAGAGAAATTAGGAGGGTGGCTACTCGGAGGAGGGCTTTCTCAGCGGTGGCGCCTAAGTTATGGAATGCGCTCCCCAGAGAGGTCCGCCTGGCGCCGTCGTTATTTGTTTTTCGGCGCCAGGCGAAGACCTTTTTATTTAAACGTCATTTTAATTGTTAACAATATTTGCTAATTTATCTGGCCAGGGTGACTTCTTTTCTTTTCTTTTATAACTCTTCTTTTATAACTTCTTTTATATCGTTTATATTCTTTATTTATTTTATATTATTAATTTTAAGTTTATATTGTTATTTCTGTATCGTATTGTATTTTATCGTGTTGTAAGCCGCCCCGAGGCTTCGGCAAGGGGCAGCATAGAAATGTTCTAATAATAATAATAATAATAATTTGATTATGACTATGGAATGTGAAAAAATATGTTGTAGGGGCCTGACCCAGTACGTCCGATGTATTTGATGACTGATGTTTTTAGTAGTGGTTGAAAAATCTTAATAAAAATATTTAAAAAAAATAACAACAAATTGTCCTCTGGGTAACATTTTGGTCACATGTGGAAGAGGGTTTGAGGAGCCCTGTCCAAAAAAGCTATTGATCTGTGGGCAAAACAGATGCCTAACTGCAAAGACCACATGTCCTTTCTTTGCAGGAATATAGATTAGGAAACCTTTATAAAGGAGAATTCCATACCTTGTCAGGGCGATTCCAGACATCAAGTTCCTGAGTGACTTTAGATCATTTTATACAGGTTTTTTTGTAATTATTACTGCCTTTTTAGCTGGTGGTTTGGAATTTTAAGCTCATGCTATCTGAACTGGGGTTTTGCCAACTTAAGTGTGTATCTTTGAGTTGAGACCTGTTATAGGGAGAGCCAGTGTGGCGTAGTGGTTAAGAGCATGGGACCGGGACTCAGGCAATCCGGGTTCTGGTCCCCGCTCAGCCATGGAACCAACTGGGTGACTTTGGGCCAGTCACAGACTCTCAGCCCAGCCTACCTCACAGGGTTGTTGTTGTGGGGATAAGAGCGAGGAGGAGAATGATGTAAGCTGCCTCGAGCCCTTTGTAGGAAAAAGGCAGGATATGAATCGAAAAATAAATAAATAAATAGTTTGCTAAGAGTTTGCTTTGTGATGGTATGAGGGCTTAATTTCTGCCTTTTCCTAGACTGTGAACCCCTTGGGGCATGATCCTGCCCCCAGAAAACATTGTGCATGTGGAAGGTGTAGCGGGAATTAACAAACGTTTTATAACACTGCTGTAACAGGCCAAAACACTTTGCACGGGGAGTGACGGGATGCGCAGTCCTGTAGTCACTAGACAGATTCTAGCCAGTCACACGGTGATTCAGAATCTCAGCTCCAAGGTTGGACATGGGGCCTCAGCTTGGAGCGCCTGCCTCCTGCTGGTGTGTCTGGGGCAGAATGGACCGTGCTGCATGGTCCTTGTGGGTTTTGTTACAGTGGCAGCATCACAACCAGCTTTCCTTGTGCTCCAAGACACCCCGCTTACATGGCCAAAATCAGCTAGCTTGCTTGCTTGATTTATTTATTTGGGTCTTTCTATCCCGTGCATTACGGTTCGTCTCTGGATGGCTTACAACTTACAAACTAAAATATTGTAAATATTATAAAACTTACAATATATACAATATTGGCTTACAATATAAAACACCTAATAATACGTCATAATAACACACGACTGAAAATAAAAACATTATTAAAATATTGGGTAAATAAAAAGGTCTTGAACTGGTGCTGAAAAGCATATAACGTTGGCGCCAGGTAAATCTCTCTGAGGAGGACATTCCACAGCCAGGGCGTCACTGGAGAGAAGGCCCTGCTCTGAGTACGTTCTTTCTCCTGACCTCCTTCAAGGAGGGTTCCTGGAGCAGGGCCTCTACTGCAGATCTTAAGAGGCGGGAGGGCATATAGGGAAAAGGATGTTCCTTCAGGTATCCTGGTCCCAAGCCATTTAGGGCTTTATAGGTCCATGCTGTTGTTAGTCGCGAAGTTGTGTCCGACCCATTGCGACCCCATGGACAACATTCCTCCAGGCCTTCCTGTCCTCCACCATCCCCAGCACCTTAAATTGGGCCTGGACTTCAATGGGGAGCCACTGAAGCTGATACAGGACGGTGTTATGTGAGAACAGCGACCGGATCCCGACAGCAATCTGGCAGCTCTGTTTCGAACCAATTGAAGTATCCGGACTGTCTTCAAGGGCAGCCCCACATAGAGCTCATTACAGTAGTCCAACTGGAGGTTACCAGAGCGTGTGTGGGCTATCTAAGTGTGTGCGTGGTGGGAAGAGCACAGAGGCACCCTTTGCTTCCTTCCTTCCCCTGCCACACCTAGGATGGCTCTAGTCCCCAGGTTTGGGGTTGGCTGGTCGCAAAGAGGGGAGACCAGCAACGTGCGCTGCTGAACGAGCTCACCTTTCACTTTCAGCCGAGCGCTTTCAGAGACCTTCTTCTGGACCTTCACCGTCACTGTCCCAGCATCTTCCGTCGTGACGTGCTTGAGCGTCAGGCTGTGGGAGGTGCCCAACTTCTTGATCTCGTTGAAATTGTTTGGGAAGAGATGCGTGTCGTTGAGGAACCATTCCACGTCCTCGCTGTCCTCAGACAGCTCGCAGGAGAAGACGGCACAGCCCTCCTCGTCGATTTCCACATCTTGCAGGTGCTTGGTGATCTCCACTTTGCGCTCTGTTCAAGACATAGGTGGCAGAAAGTGAGGCATCAGTGCACTAGAATGTAACCTCCTCCCCAAACTCAGAAAAAGAGCTCCGCACATTAAGGATTTCGTGTCTTCTCTGCCACTGCCTTTCTTTTTTGTATTCAAAAGTAGTTTTCCATAAAAGCGATTCAGATTTCGATCCATCTTTTAAGCCGTCTCAAGTTCAACCACTCTCTTCCCAAGTGTCAAACTTACTGTTCCACCAGGGGTTTCTCTCCCCTTTCCCAAGTGTGCTGTGGACCCAATCCAACAGCCAAACCCTCACAAGCCTGACCCCTGCCTCATAAGTAAATTGCCCCAGGGGGCAATTAAGAGGACTGCCCTTGCAGGCAGGTGGTCGCAGTCAAGCTGCTCCGCGGAACAGGATCCCTACCTAACTACATAAAATCATGGAGCACGATAACAGATGAGCTGGAAGGAGTGAGAAGCCCATCAGCTCCACGCCCCTGCTCAGTGTGGGCCGCCATGTTAAACCACCCCTCTCAGGTGGCGGTCCAGCAGCAGCTTGGATGCCTCCCAAGCACCCCTGGGATCTCCCGCCAGGCCTTCTTGGTCATTCTGCAGCCAATAGAGCGCTCCCATGAAACGGGACTTAAGCACACCTCCTCGGTGGTGGCACCAGCCCTCCGAAACGACTCACGCATGCTGCTTCTGAGGCAGGCACTGCCGTGAGTTTTATGCGCCTCGGGACAAGGTAGCCGTTTCAACAGGCTTTTTCTGACTCGTTGCAGTTTATGGTACTGTTCCACTTTCTGACTATCTTGCAATACATCCATATATGCCCAGCCGCCCCTTGAGATCGGCGGGAGAGGCCCTTCTCTGGGAGCCCTCCGTGAAAGAAATCAGGAGGGTGGGTACTCGGAGGAGGGCCTTCTCTGCGGTGGCGCCTAAGTTATGGAATGCGCTCCCCAGCGAGGTCCGCCTGGCGCCGTCGTTACTTGTTTTTCGGCACCAGGCGAAGACCTTTTTATTTAATCGGCATTTTAACTGTTAATATTATTGGATTTTATCTGGCCAGGGCGGCTTATTTTATATTGTATTTTTATTTTTTAATCGAATGTTTATATTTCTTAATTTAAGATTATAATTATTTTAATTTATCGTTGTAAGCCGCCCCGAGGCTTCGGCGAATGGGGCAGCATAAAAATGTTTTAATAAATAATAAATAAATAAATAAAACTTGTATTTCTCATTTTATTGCTCTTTTCTTGGTTTTATTATTTATTTATTTATTTATTTATTTATTAAAACATTTCTATGCCGCCCCTTGCCAAGGCCTCGGGGCGGCTTACAACATTGAATACAAAATACATTAAAACAATGACAATTAAAATATATACAGTAAAATAAAATAAGCCGCCCTGGCCGAATAAAATTCAATAATATTAACATTTAAAATGCTGCATAAATAAAAAGGTCTTCGCCTGGCGCCGAAAAAACAAATAACGACGG